AATAATTCTATAAATTTCACATCATTACTTACCACCCCGTCCTCGGACTAGTCCGTTTTGATTACCCCTAATGTCATAATACCTACTCATTTCAGGTACAGTCTCTCCCCTGGCCCAATGCGAATGGATACATATACGAGCCGCGTGAATTTGAAAACTCAACCATAGGCGTGTAGTGTACATCCCTTTCCAATGATGTGTCACTCGACCCAATGTTCAATTTAAAATTATTGAAGGGGTGGCAACTCTGCTTAGGGGGTTGACAACAGGGGTGTAAATTTTGAAGTAAAAGATGTGCCTCTTCCAACGGAGGTCGACGTGTTTTTGCGTTAGTTTCAAAAACTATTTCTTTTCGAGTTATACAGTCTGTTTCGTTTTTGTTGGGCCACCCTCTGTAATTATTTGAATTGGTAGTTGACTGAGTAAAAGGGCAGTTTCTTGAATGAATTCCTATGCGTCTACACTTGGAACAAAATGCTAATGCGTCGCCTCATAGATTCAAGAAATATACCCTTTTTACTCAAAATTCGTTTTATATTCCATGAAACAACTGTAGTTTTCTATTACGTGGAGGAGAAAGCATATTATCTTATAACTTTAATTCAAGTCTCCCCCCTTTTCTCAGTCATAACAGTTTGTACTTTAGTCTAATGACGCTTTATTGTGTGAGTTTATCAATTGCTTGTACGTGTATTGTGTATTGTTTGAAAGCATTAATGTAAGTATAAACAGGACTTTTTTGATTTTCCTCATTGCTCTGTAATTGGAAATTCCCATCACTTTCCACAAAACTGATAAATCCTTATCTAGCCGGCTAATGTGAATATTTATTTAACTGTATTACAAGTTGTACAGTATTATACCTTACATTATACGGTAGAATTCATGTGTGACAATCCTAATTCTCAGTAAGTACCTACTTTCCGTTGCGATTCGGTTGGGTAAGCAGCACAACTACCTATAATTTGCCAAAAATTGCTAATGCACTTCTCATCATGTCAATTTCAATAAACAATTAAGTATGTTGAATGTTGCATGCGAACTTAAATCGTTATTACTATAACATCCCATAAAATCCTTGTAATATCGCTAATTTTGCTTCGCTATTAGGTACAGATTACGGTCACAGTATATCCTTCAATATACTGTGTTACGGTGTTAACTAATGGGTAGGTACTTCACAACAGCACTGTTGTAAATCTTTCAATTAAATTCACTGAACTCTGAGCACTATGATCTTTTATAAGGATATCGAGAGATATAGATAGGAAAATGTATCAGAGTGTAATGGCCTTAGGTATAGTATATCCCATACCATTCAAAATTGGAATTTGCTATGTTATGTAGGTTACTCCATAACGTTATACTGGGGTTATGTGTGATTTGTTATATAACCGCAATGCAACAATGTCAACCTCAAAAAAACTACGTTGTTTATCACAATGAGTTGACTCGAAATGCTACGAAATAGGCTAACCTCTATTTTAACATAAAATTAAGCTTACAGACAACTCACACTCTCACCAGTCTGATTTCAATAACCTTTTCTGAACGACCCCATTGAAAAACAGCAACGACGTTCTTGTTTAGATTTTTTCACTCAAAATAAAGTTGGTAAAAACGAAAATTTTAGCGCACCTTAAATGATACGTAACCGCTCGCGAAATTAACTGCGAATGATCGCAATTATGCGAAAATAAAATTCTCACACGTAAATAATACGTGCTAATTCTTAGAAAGTTTAACCTCGTCTGCCGAAAACCTACTTTATAACTCGCCAACTATTTTTTCTCTAAAATGCATACCTTTGTTCATGTTCGCTATGAAGCGGTATATGTGTAAATTTTTTTATGTTGAATAAAATGCAATTTTGAAAATAAAACTTTTGAAAACGACTAAGCGAGCATCTATTAGAATGTTAAACCAACAAATTGTCATTATTTTAATATATCTAACCACAAAATATGTACCTGAAAGCTGCAGTGTTGGGTATAACATTTTACCGTATATGGTATATAATAGTTATACAGGGTGATTCCTATAGTACCTGCCACCGTTTGGGAGCGTATAGGGGGTGCCTAGGGGAAGTCTTTTCATATAGGACACTTGGGTCGGAAATCCAAAATAAGGGCGCCAGTACCAAATTTATCTTCTGGAATTTCACGCCTGTATGTAGGCAACCCAACCGACCGACGTTTCGCGCGGAGCGATGCAGAGCGAGTTAGCGCGAGGAAGCGACATGGGAGGGAAGGAGGGAAAACGGCAGTCAAAAGCAATAACGTTTACAAGTGTTCAACGTGGCCACCGTTGTTCTCAATGCACTTCCTACATCTAGCCAACCACTCCCCTCGAACTCGCGTGAAGACTCCTATGTCCTGGCGAACAGCCTCTCCGGCCATGACGACGCGCGCAATTAAGTCCTCTTCGGATTCGACGGGAGTCTCGTAGACGTGCGCTTCCATCACACTCCACAAGTAAAAATCTAATGGGGTGATGTCGGGCGAGCGGGCAGGCCACTCCACCGCACCTCCACGGCCGATCCATCTGTCCGGATAGGTTTGGTCCAAGTGTTCCCTCACCTGCCGTCCGTAGTGAGCAGGGCACCCATCGTGCTGGAACCAGTGGTCCCAGTACAAGTTCACTGGAACATCCATTAAAAGTTCTGGTAGCACCTCGCGCAGGAAAATCAGGTAATTATGGGCATTTAGACGCGGAGGGAGGATGTAAGGCCCCAGTAGGTTGTCCCCCAGGATGCCAGCCCAAACGTTTAAAGAAAACTTGTCCTGGTATCCTCGCGTAAACGTTTCATGAGGATTGTGCTCCGCCCAGTAGTGGCTGTTACGAGGATTGGTCCCCTCTCTTGAGAATCCTTTCTCGTCAGTAACTAGCACGCTCCTCAGAAAGTTCGGATTAGCTTCTTCCTTCTGGACGACTAAGTTGCAGAATTCCAGCCTCCTTTCATGGTCACCCGGCCGTAACTCTTGCACTTTCTTAAACTTATAGGGGTGTAAGTTGTTGTTGTTGGCGATGTTCCACACTGTGTGTTGACTACAACCCACCTGATCTGCTACAAGTCGAGTGCTAGTACGCCTGAGATCGCTCCGTGTGCACCGCCGGCCGGTTGGGTTGCCTACCTACAGGCGCGAAATTCCAGAAGGTAAATTTGGCTCTGGCACCCTTATTTTAGATTTCCGACCCCAAGTGTCCTATATCAAAATACTCCCCTACGCACCACCTACACGCTCCCAAACGGTGGCAGGTACTATAGGAATCACCCTGTATAAGAATGGTATATAACAGTTACAATGTTATGTTACATAACGTTAGACTATCGTTATGTGTATTTCTTTACAAAATCACAATGCACCTCAATGCCCACCTCAAGTTTGTAATCTTTGCAGATGAAGGTGGCGGTTGTCGGTGCAGGACCTGCGGGTCTTGTCGCGGCAAAGTACTCAGTGCAACACGGGCATGAATGTGACGTGTTTGAACAAACTGGCGCCTTTGGCGGGGTGTGGATCTATACTGATGACGTTGGCGTCGATAAAGAAGGTGTGTTAATTCACACTTCGATGTACAAGGATTTAACGTAAGTTTCTAAATAACAACTGTCGCTCCATAGTCAGTGTAGCACCAATTTTCCCAAGGAATTAATGTCGTACCCAGACTGTGCGTATCCAGATGATCAAACCAAGTCGTATATTTCACAACAAGAGGTGTTAGGGTACTTAAAGAAATATGTGGATGAATTCAATATCAAGCGGCTTATTCAGGTATAGGTGTAATGTTTAAATGCAATGCTGAGACAATTTTTTAGTTTTACACACGTGTTGTGGACATATCTCCCGATGTAAACGAGGGGTGGATTATTAAAACTGAGGATGTGAAGTCTAATTTAAAAAAAGAATTGGTATACGACGCAGTCTTGATTTGCAACGGGCGCTTTTACGAACCCACGCTCCCAAAGATCAATGGGCAAGACTTATTCAAGGGACCTCAAACACACAGCAAAGATTTCCGTACACCCGAACCTTTTAAAGATCAAACGGTGTTAATTGTAGGAGGATCATACTCTGGTCAAGAGCTGTGTCTAAAAATCGCTCCTGTAGCAAAGCGCGTATGAGAAACACAAATTTTGGTGATTACTCATCATGAAGGTTTTTAGGTGATTTTAAGCCATAGAGCGCCCATCATGTATATAAAATTTCCTGACAATTTAACCGAAAAAACAGAAGTGGCCGAATTTACTGCAAACGGTGCAAGGTTTTTAGATGATACGATCGAAAATTTCGATTGCATTTTGTACTGCACAGGTATGGATTACGTTCTCAGCAGATCAATACACTACCATGTTTTAGGTTTTCATTACGTGTGTCCATTTGTGAGTAAAAAATGTGGATTGAACGTTGATAACAATTGGATTCGTCCACTTTATAAGCAAATTATAAATGTTGAATACCCTACAATGCATTTTATTGGGCTACCTTATGTAGCATGTGGAATACCACTGTTTGATTTCCAGGTGAGACCTTCTCTGGTTATAGTTTGTTTATCGTCGCGATTTAGGTTCAGTTTTCCTTAGCGGCACTGGAAAAGAAGTTTAATTTGCCATCTAAAGAAGAAATGATAAAGGAACTGGGACGTTATATGGATGCCAGACGTGCGAAAGGAATTCCAGATTTTCAGGCGCACAAGCTCGGTAATGCGGAGGCCCAAACGGATTATCTTCAGCAACTATCCGATGTGTCCGGAATACCACCAATACGTCCCGTTATAAATAAGTTGTATGCGCGCATTAAGGCTTGTGTAACGTTGGGGTGTCGTTTTGAGATTGTGGACGACGAAAATTTTAGAATAATATCTTAACTGTAATTTGAAGTGTACTATATAAATTGTGGTTCATTTTTCGTTTCTATTACCAAGCATTAAAACAAGGCCCCACAAATAGTTATTTGTACAACTAGAAAAGAAAGTGGAGTTTTTCAACTCGAGTTCAAAAGAGTTGAAAAACACTTTTTTCTCAAGTTTTACCCATAATTTTTTCTGAAACTACAATAAAAAAATAATCATATGCAATATAGTCTATAGGCGATAAAGACATCTAACTGAACATTTTGGGGTGGAAAAGAAAAATATTGGTAAAATATGTTCAGTTAGGTGTCAGAAACAACATATTAAAAATCCCACCCCCAGACCCTGTGCTAAAGGCTCCAGCCACCCCACCACCCCCCAGAAACCGTGTTTTCGCCCTTTTTGGCTGATATCTCGCGATCTATGAGGTCTAGATGAAATATTTTTTGCTGAAAAATGCTCCTCTTGAAATTTCTTACAAGGTAGATACTGAAAAGTTAGCCTAGGTGTACCTCTTAGCCGAGAAAATTCATAAAAGAAGGCGAAAATCATCAATTTTCGTGTTTTTTTTGCGGTTTTTTGCAAATATATCGCGACCTTTAGGGCTAGATGAAATATTTTTAGCTGAAAATGCTCCTCGTGAAATTTCTTACAAGGTAGATACTCAGAAGTTAGCCTAGGTGTACCTCTTAGCCTAGAAAATTCATAAAAGGAGGCGAAAATCATCATTTTCGTGTTTTTTTTGCGGTTTTTTGCAAAAATATCGCGACCTTCAGGGCTAGATGAAATATGTTTAGCTGAAAATGCTCTTCGTGCAATTTCATGCGAGGTAGGTAACTGAGGAATTGGCGTAAAGTCACCTTTCACCTTCAACTTTCATGTGTGAGGAAATATTCATTGTAAAACAAATTATTTGTATGTACCATTTATTCACGTAAAATAGTTATTTGTAAAACTAGTTTTAATATTTTTTTTATTTTTTTTTTTAATATTTAATATTTATTCTCCAAACAAGTAGATACTCTATAACAGGACAATATCTAAAAAAGAAATGTTACAGTAATTGAGAGCCGCTAACTATTCAAGAAAAAAATAAACAACAAGTTAAAAAGTAATCGTAAACGATTTACATAAAGCGCATTTCCACTTGCATTCATTTCCCATTTGTAAGATGCAACTTCTGTTAAAATCGTAAAAATCCGGCCACAAATATGAAAGATAGCGTTGCACATGGGCAATCCATTGTTGACGTGCTACTTCAATTTCAGTTTATGAGAAGAATTTCATTTCAATGCTTTTTTAAATAAGAAAGTTGGAACTGCGCATGCGCAAACCTAAATTTTAAAACTAATGTTAGATTTTCCTTTGTTCCAAGCGCCTAAGTATCAAATTTCACTTAATAGTTCCATAGATGAAAAAGTTGGCACTGCGCATGCGCAAAATAAAATTTTGAAACTGGCGCTAGATTTTCCTTTATTCCAAGTGCCTATGTATCAAATTTCATTTAAATTCTTCCATAAATAAAAAGTTGGCACTGCGCATGCGCAAAACCAAATTTTGAAATTGGCGTTTGATTTTCCTTTATTCCAAGTGCCTATGTATCAAATTTCATTCAAATACTTTTATAAGTAAAAAAAGTTTGCAATTCGGTTTATAAATGGTCGAGATGCGAAAAGGGCACTGTGAATTTTGAATCGATTCGATTCAACTTTTGGCATTGCGTATTATATGGCTAAATCTATGCCCATATTGAATTTCATGCAATTTAGTTCATAACTCACGGAGATGTAAAAGCGATCGAACATTTCTAAACAAAGTTATCGTTCACACGGACAGATAGATGGACAGACAGACAAAGGAACAGACGGACAGACCAACAGACAGACGACAGATAGCAATGCAAAATTATAAACGATCTCTAGGATCGTTAATAAACGGCAAAAGTGTAAAATTATGGAACATGAAAAAACGGTTTTTTGTTTTTTTTACAATAACTTTTTTTGTAAGCGGTACAGAAAAAATTCCTTCCTTGGTACAAGACTCGACACCATAACGAACCAAACAGCGAAAAAAGTAGAACAATAGCTCTTAAGATAAAGAACTAGTAGCGTCGCAAAACGAGCGGACGGACGGACGGACGGACAGCCGGACGGACGGACGGACGGACGGACGGACGGATAAAGTGCCCACAATAGCGCATTTTTGTTTTATTTTTGTGGAAATGCGCTAAAAAGAATCTAAAAATTCAACTCAGATACAACTAAACTCATTCAACGAATTTTAACAGTTCGTTTAATAGTATATTAAGTATGGAGAACGGTAAGGGATTTTTACCGTTCGAAGACAATTGTTTGGAGGAGGAGCGAAGCGACGACTCCAATTATTGTCTGAGAACGGTAACCCTTAACGTTCGACGTACTTATAACATTTTTTGCGCGATCGAAATTAAAATTATGCAACCAATATAAATATGCACTAAGAAATTAACGAGCAGAATAAATCGAAATGATCGAAGTGGTATGGTGTACATCACTAGGCAACCAGTTTAAATGTCAAAATTGAAATTAATAATTTCATAAAAATGTGCATGTGTCTGATGTAGTTTACTAGCTTTGCACTTCCTTTATGACTTTATGAGCGTCTTGCTATAGGGAAAACAGCACAAATTGTACGTTTAATTTACCTAACAATAATTAAAGATTAAATGTAATGTAAGACTGTTGATTTTTAAAAAGGCGTCGGTAAGTATTTTTGCTGTTCTGTTTTTAGATCGGTAAGTAATTTTGGCGTCGTCGTAATCATAGTAACTGGTAAATTCTACGTACTGTCATGGAAACACCCATCGTAAATAGTCAGAAATGACCAGAGACTTGCTATAACAAGTCTCTGGAAATGACCGATCGCGCAAAAAGTAATATTAAATATATCCGTGGTGGAAGGTAATTCGTTCACTAGTGAGCACACTAAATGAACTGGTGATCTCTGTAACGCAGCAGTTCTGCATCTAAACGGGTTGAATGTTGCTGTGCATCTTGACGACAATCTTGGAACGCGGAACCTGATTTTGTTTAGTAAAGAAGGGCAATCGATAGTATTGGACAAACGTTTGTAGAGAAAGGTAACACATAGCCGCTTTCTTCTGGTACTAAGAGGTAAAAGTTCAAACCGCGCACACATAGTCGACTGAGAGAAACCTCTTGGGGGATAACATCCATCTTCTCGGTAGCATAGTTTTGAAAGTGATACTTTTTTTCATGAATTTGCTCATAAATGAGGGCGAAGCCCGAGTTCATCAAGCAAATTCATGGAAAAAAAACACTTTCAAAACGTGTTGTACACGAAATTTTTTTGCATAGTGATCCCTAATAACCCACAATTGAATAATTTGATTGACATTCGCGATTTACTGTCACTCAAAAGTGGATACTATGGCTCATACACAGGACTAAACTCCATGGAAACGCATAGTAAAAATCATGAAAAAAAGTACCACTTTCCATACGATTTTTCGTTTAAAAAAGTCCGATAGTTTCATCACTATGTAAAAAACAGTATTTTCATATCAAACTATTCACGCATTCATTTATATCTCAACGTAATCATTCTCCTCTGCGAATTCCACTTCTTCAGGCTCTTCGACGTCCTCTAGTGGTAGTGGGTCGTCTGAAATTACCGACTCGTAGTTCTCCTCGTCTTCCGCTTTACCTACATGGGTACCCTAAAGAGACGATGTGGCATTTAGGCACGATTTGCATGACACTGGACGCAGAGTTAGTTACATTTCAGACCTACAAGAAGCATGTCAAAAAAAAATTTATAATTAAGTATACGAATATAATATTCTCTCGTGTGTCCTCAGTGTCCGGTGGAGAAGGTTTACCTAATTTTCTGAAACTGCAAGCAGTCGTGCAACCACGTTCACAGCCACATGAAATAAGTTTGAGGAGACTTTCCTGGGCTGGATCCGAAGTCGTTGTGATAGGCGTCAGGAAAGTCTCCTCAAACTTATGCTTGATGTATGACTCCATTGTTAATAGGTCATTAATGAAGGGTATTATTATTGAGAACTACCTATTATTAATAAATTTTCTTTTAGGCGATCAACTTCAACTTTATTGTCATCTTCAGGCCGTAGCGTCAAAGTTAAAATATAATATAATACTTTGACGCTACGGCCTGAAGATGATAGTCGAAATCGATCGCCTAAAAGAAAATTTATTAATAATAGGTAGTTCTCAATAAGAATACTCTCCTCGAACTTCTTTCATGTGGCTGTGAACGTGGTTGCATGACTGCTTGCAGTTTCAGAAAAAGGAGTTCGGACATACGAGAGAATATTATATTCGTATACTTAATTATAAATTTTTTTTTGACATAATGCTTCTTGTTGTAGGTGTGAAGAACGAATTCTGCGTCCAGTGTCATGGAACATCGTGCCTAAATGCCACGCCGTCTCTTCAGGGTACTCATACAGGTAAAGCGGAAGACGAGGAGAACTACGAGTCGGTAATTTCAGACGACCCACTACCACTAGAGGACGTCGAAGAGCCTGAAGAAGTGGAATCTGCAGAGGATAATGATTACGTTGAGATATAAATGAATGTGTGAATATTTTGATATGAAAATACTGTTTTTACGTGAATAAATGGCACATAGAAATACTTTGTTTTACAATGAATATTTCCCCACACATGAAAGTTGAAGGTGAAAGGTGACTTTACGCCAACTCTTCAGTTACGTATGCAATTGCACGAAGAGCATCTTCAGCTAAAAACATATTTCATCTAGCCCTGAAGGTCGCGATATATTTGCAAAAAACCGCAAAAAGCTACGGAAATTGATGATGATTTTCGCCTCTTTTATGAATTTCCTAGGCTAAGAGGTACACCTAGGCTAACTTCTGAGTATCTACCTTGTATGAAATTTCACGAGAAATATTTTCAGCTAAAAATATTTCATATAGACCTCATAGATCGCGAGATATCAGCCAAAAAGGGCGAAAACACGGTTTTTGAGGGGAAGTGGGGTGGCTGGTGCCTTTAGCACAGGATCTG